GAGGACGGGAATGAAGATGGTGGCCTCCCAGTCTCTGGCCCGGAGAAGCCGAGAGCCCGGAGCCCCACTCCTCAGTGCGCCCTCAGAGAACAGCGCCCAATTACTCCCGTCACCCTGGCCTCCGGCCGTGCTCCGAGCTCACTGAGCCTGCGACCAGTTCAAGGTAACCCGAGTTTAGAGCTCATTCCTCGGCTCTGTCTCTGTAGCCAGCTTCCCCATTCTAATACCTGTAAGCTCTGCGACACTCAGACACCCCCAATCCTTCTGTGACCCTGCGGGACCTGAGGACACGCTGACCCCGCGTGGGCTTCACCCCAGTTAAGCCTCTGGAGTGATGTCCCTCAGCGGAACAGCCTTTTAAAGTCCTGATTTTGTGCTCCGTTGCTCCGCCGCTTGCCGGGAGCAGGCCCCTCCCCCCGCGGTCTATCTTCCCGTTGCTTTGGATTCACTTTTCCGCCAGTCCTACCTTTCAGAAAGTGGTGGATTTTCTGTTTCCAGAATTGCTGTTCTTCTTCTCTTTGATCTCTCGTTGGATTTGTAGGTGTTTGCAATCTTTAGATAAGCTATCTAGCTGATCTCCCGCTACCTGAAGTAGTCTCAGCCTGCTACTTCTCCGCCATCTTGACTCTGTAGCAAAACAATATTAAATTCATGTAAGAACAGAATAATTAATTTCCCTCAAAAAACTTTTGATAAGAATCAACTAATGTGATATATCAGGAAGAGGTTTCTAGTCAAACAAGCAACAGAGTGTCAAGAAAATAGAAATTTTAAATCAACCAGGACCTTACCATGTCAACAAATATTTGTGGAGAACACACAGCCAAGTACTATGGGAGGCACTGAGGATATAAGGATGAACACACAACTTTTGTGCTTATACTACTTACAGTTGCTGGGAGACAGTTAAGTGCCAGCGAACACTCACACATGTGCACATATATAATTATAAATTTTGAAGATCTACAGGGTAAAAATGAAGAATCCTATAGGGCAAGTATAACAAGGAGATCTAATTTAGACTGGAGGACCAGGAAAGTTCTTCCACAGGGTCTCCTACATCTGACATGAACTATGAGAAGGAAATAATCAGGTGAAGAGTGGGGGGAAAGAGATGTTTCAAGAGAGAAACACATGTGTGAAGTCCTGAGTTAGGAAGGTACGTAGGTTTTCTCCAGAACTGAATGAAAAACAATGTTATGGGAGCACAGTGAGGAAAAAAAGAAAAAGCGACAAAGCCCAAGAAGTAGGCAGGGCCCTGACTTTGCAGCATTCTGTAGGCCATTATGGGCAAATGACCTGTGTAAATCATGACTGGATGACAGGATTTGCCTTAACATCAAATGTGGAGTTAAGGATAATGATGTCTTTAGCAGTGCAAACAATTTCCTCTGATTCAAGAGGTCTTAAATGGGTTTCATTTGGGGAATTATAGTTTGACAATAGGATTGATTGTGAGTTATTTGAAGAAACAGCCTTCTAACCTGGTATCCTCTGGTCCTCTTTAGGTGTAGGTCTTGAATATGTAGCTATGAGTTTACTTGCAGAGCTGAGCCTAGGTAAGGCAGCAATGCACATGTGTTGAGCCATACACTATCAGGCCCATGACACACACTCTCTCTTCTCATCCTCGCAACCATCCTATGACCTGGATATTTTATCTCCATTCTATAGATGAGGACATTGACTCATAGGGAAGGTAGCAAATTTCCACTACCTTGGAAGATGTGCCTTGGAACAGGTGATTCAAATCTGGGTCTCCTAGGTTTGTGTAGTAATTCTTCACAGGCCACAACTCCAGGGGTGTACTTGCTACTGGATCTCCTGAAATGGGCATAAAAAAGGTCTTTGTAGATGCCAGTATCCTCTATGCCCTCCACTTTATTCATAAATTCAGGCACTCAAACATTTAAGCATTTTCTTAATAAGTGTTTATTAAAGACTTAGTAAGACATCTGACATCACTGAGAAGAAGAAAAGATGAATGAGAAGAAAGAAGGGAGGGAGATAAATATAAATAAGACAGAATCTGCCTTCTAGGAGCCTGTATTAGGAAAGCTAAGGCTAATATACACATAATCATGAAATAGTGGAGAATGTGTTAGGTCACAAGAGAAATATAAGCTAAGATTAAGTCCTACTATGCCTCTGAAATATAGGTAGGATGTTGATGGCTAGAGAGGCAAGAGGAGAGCATTCCAAAACAGTCATAATTTGGAGGGACGTTTCCTCTAAAGTCATTTCAGAACCTCTCTTCTCAGATTAATCAAGCTGATGGAGCAAGGAGCACTTTGTTCTTAACAGGGACAAACGGTCAAACAAAACATATGCTATATGTGGCTGAAATGTATTCCTCGTATCCAAAAAAATAAAATATATTTAGACATGTTTTAATACTTCCCTAGATAAGAGAGACTTCTATTTTCTCCATAAGGCTTGTTGTTTTAATTTCAGCTGTACAACTACCACTGCTGACTACAGGGGAGTTAGAAAGGAAGGACAGGAGGAAGCTCTGGATGGTGATTTGTTGTTGATCACTTAGGCATGCTATCCACGTCACCAGTAACTCTTCCTGGAAGCCTCCCAAAATTCCAGCAAATCCTCTCCGGTATAGGGTTAGGAGGGTAGAACATATGGGGAGAAACGCTACGGACTAAGTTGAATATGGTAAATTCCTAAGCTCTCAGCCTGTTATCTTCTTTCTACCCCCTTCTCACTTATGTCGAAAAAGATTATGAAGACAGATTGAAGTGAGGGGATCTTTGTAGAAAACGTTCTGTTTTGAGGATGTAGTGCAGGAAGAGAAAAGGGAAGTGGAAAAACTAGAATACGGAGGCTTTGAATGTCCGATTATGGAATTTAGATGTTCTGTGGCAGGTAATGTAGACAATCTCGGATCTTAAAGTTTGTTGTTGTTTTTGTTTTTTAGGTTTGTTTTTGTTTTTGTTTTTACATAACTAGATTCCTAATTAGAGGAAATACCTTGAAATAGGGTAGTATTTTTTTTCCAATTATAGAAATCATTCTTATGCATACAAGATGTTAAGGGTTGTTTGTTTCATGTTGAACCTCTTTCAAGAGTTATTATATGGTCAGTCCATGGTTTCCCTGGATATTATTGTTATGATATTTTTAGGGAAGTCAGTCCAAAATTAATTCCTAGAGAGTCAACAAAATTGCAATCCAGTCAACATTTGACATAGCCGAACAAACATTTACATATTCCAAATGTCCTTGCAATTGGAATTCATTTCCTTTCTCAATCTCACAAAGGAAATACTCTCTCCTGATGTTTCCCTTGATATGTAAGGTCAAGGAATAAATTTTCCTTATTTTTTTTTAAAGATTTTATTTACTTATTTGACATAGACGCAGGATGAGAGAGGGATCACAAGTGGGAGTGGGTGAAGGAGAAGCAGGCTTCCCGTTGAGGGAAGCCTTTCAGCTTCCAAAAGCTGAAATGCACTATTAGTGAAATTGTTAACAGACTTGAAAAAGCCCATTCTAGATGCTTTCTTCCTTTTAGGTTTGCTCACTTTTCTCTCCTGGATTATGATAATATGGTTTTAATACCATTTCATCTAAAGTAATTCTATTTGTTGAGCAATTAACATTTCTGTTTTTCAAACCATTTTAAACCATCACATGCATATACTTAAAGTATTTTAATAAAATTATATTAACTCACAATTTTTTTCTTTGAGATGGCCTATAAAGCAATAGTCCTATCTAAAATGATAGAGGTGCAATTTTAAGAAATAAATTTGGAAACTATGTTACTTTTATCTTATTTTGAATTTCTAAGGGTATATTTTCATTATATAATGTCCTATAAAAATACTAATAGTAGTTCCCTATTATGGAATACCCACCTCTGCCATGCACTGCTTTATAGAAAGTGTAATAAAGACCTCTGTGAGATAAATGGGACCACTCTGGACTAAACTGTGTTTCCCAAAAATTTGTATGCTGAAGCCCTAACCCCCAGTGTGACTCTATTTTGAGATATAGCTTTTAGGAATTTATTAAGGGTAAAAGATGTCATAAGGGTAGGATCTTAATCCAATAAGATTGGTCAACGTTTAAGCGGAGAAGAGAGTGATCTCTGTCTCTCTCTGCTTGTGATGTGCATGCCCTGAGGAAAGGCCATGTAAGGCCAGGATACAGCAAGAGGGAGGCTATCTATAAACCAGGAAGGGAGACCTCACCATGCTTCCAACCTCCAGAACTGTGAGAAAATAACTATCTGATGTTTAAGCTACCCAGTCTGTGGTATATTGGTATGCTGACTATTAAGTGACTGTCTCCATTTTGTGGACTAAGAAGCAGACAGAGCCACTGGTATTTGAACCTAAATATGTTTGACTATAAATCCCACTCTTTGGACTACCCTCTGAATTTTAAGCCAGCAAATAATGAATATAGATAGCCTTTTAAAACAATACCAAGCACTTCATCTGTTGTTGTTTCTATGCATTTTAATTTTTACTAGGTTTATCAGATATCACAAAGTCAGTTGATTTTGTTCATTCCTATTCATTATCATCTGATTTTTGTCTTCTAGTAGGATGTTACTATTTGAGCTTTCAGAATTCCAGGATAATATTTAAAAATGTAGCTAATCTTCTTGAAATTGCAATCTTGAAAAAATCCAAGAAGATTTACTATTGCTGTATTTGCTTGTTGTAAAACATATTAAATACAAAATACCCAGTTTTGTGCCTGAAACTAGTTGGCAGTGTCCCATTAAGCCATATTAAAATTAACTTCTATTAATTGGATTAGAAATTCAGTGAGAATGACAGCTGCTAGTGCCTTTTGCAGTTACTTTGTTTCTCTACAATCCATATGGCAGAAATCACATAATGCTTTTATCCCCATTGAAATAAACACTTGAGATAAAAAGGTTTAACTCAATGTGATCAGGGTATGTGTATTTGTTTTTCTTTAATTAAAAAAGGGTTTTTTTTTTAAATGAACTTTTTCCCTCTCTTTTACAGGTTTTCACCAGCCATATTTTTATATCTGATTAGCATTGTTCCATCATTATGGCTTCTTGAAATGCACGATGAGACCCAGGTATGTCCCTTTGGAAAGTAAGAAAGTGGAATATTTATCAGTAAACTATTTTCATACTATAATTTATTTCAGAAATGCACTTCTCAAAGGAATTGGAGTTATCAAGAATTGAAAAAGAGGCCATTAGCAAAAGAAAGTGAATTCATGATCTATCAAAGCCAATAAAAATGTTACAGTTAAGAGTTAAGATTATATAATTAGCTAACAACTTACGTTAAAGATCTTGTTCTTAAGCACTCCTGACCTCAAATATGCTAGAGTTTTTTACATGGGGTACGGGAGGGTTGTGTGTAAAAATTGGGTTTTAAACTTCGCAGATTCAGTGAATTCCTGTATTGTACTGAAAATGGGCAGGGCTCAATAATCTAGCATCCTATAAAATAAAAGTAGCAGAAATTAAAAAGAAACCCCATTGTCTAGACTCTGCTATGTAAATGCAATGAAACTTGGAGGGGCTACTAAAAACAGTCTGTCTTAAAATACAGACCTTACAGATTACAAAAGATTCCTTTTTGAGGGTCCCATGAGCTGTTTTAGTGAAATAGGTATTCTACTCTGGAGCCAGATAAGAAGAGTTAAAAAGAAGAGTTAAAAAGAAGAGTATGAGATCTACCACTGGGAGAGGTGTGCTACATGTATAAGGACTGACTTAAAAAATAAACAATGGCTTCCAATGAGAGTCCCTAATCTATACAGAGAGAAAGAGCTACTGATTTTTAAGTGAGTTGCTTCTTAGATGGGCAGCCCCAGGTATCAGGATCTGGATTAGATTCACAATCTATTGCTATTAATGCTCCTGTACCACACTGCAAAAGGCAGACTCCACCAGATGCCAGCCTGGACTTCACATCTTCTGGGTCAGGTTATAGGGCTATGTTATAGATAAGCTGTAGTTATGATATAATATTATTATAGTACTTTCACTGATATAATGCATTATTCAAGATAAGAATTTGCCCCTATACAGATTTCTTTGCTGCAGTTGGTCATTTTATAGTAAAGTTAAGCCTCTGATGTATGTTTCAGATATCCAAACCTTGTCTGGAAAATGCTTGCTCCAAATTTTAGGCACACACAGGGGAATTTAGTTCTGTGGACTATTTCTGAAGAATTCCACAAGCACATACCAATAAAATAAGCATGAGGAAAACATTTATCTGCTTTAAATCCCCTGTTTAAAAATATTAAAGTCATAGGCATCTCTATGACTGTAGCAAAATATTTTTGTAGCACTAGATTGGCTGGTTCAAGTTGTCATGGTTTTTAAAAACCGTACCATAAGGAGTTAGGGGACTGTTTCAATTTCCTTACTACTTACTACTTTCAGGGGGATGGAAATAAGCTCTGGTGATTTGAATCATTTCTTTCTTTCACATCCAATTCTATAACATGACTATCATCCACAATAACAATTCATTTCCCCAAATGATTTTATAATATAAATGCATTGCACAGTTAATTGATATACAGGTCAAATCCCATTACAACAAATAGCATGCAACCAAAAGCTTTCTTTTTGATAAAAAAAGATTTTTGAGCCCCAGGCAGTACCTCTCTAATTTTCATACTACAAAAGAAATTGGACCTTTAGTAGTAATGGATTTGACTCATTTTGACACTAAGAATTAAAATGAATGCCCAAAGATTGAATTGGGCAGGGTGGGCAGAGATGGAAGTAGAAAAAGGTAAGCGTAAGGGAGACAAAACAGTATTGGAATTGCATTTAAAGAAATGAAAAATGGCAGAATAAAGGAAGGTACAGCAATTCTCTTAGTCCATTCATTTAAAAAAATTTGATTGTGATAATAACCACTTTTCTTTATGTAGTCCTTTCTTTCAAAGTATTTTCAAATGCATTTTCTCCTTTATGAACTCATCAACTCCATGAGTTAGGCATGTTATATATATTTCTACTTTACTGATGAGGACGCCGAGACAGAAACGTTAAAGTAATTTTCTCAAGGTCACACAGCTAATCAATAACAGTCCTGGGGCTTAGCACCTAGGTCTTAACAGCCACTCTGTTAAACCACACTGCCTTTCTCAGTTTTGTGTTCTATGTTTTAGAGGAGTTATCAAAATTACCTGATTTTTTTTCATGACAGATTAGTGATTTAATTTCTTTTCACATTTTCTATGTATTCTACATCCTAAACGTTCTAACCTATGTCTTGTCATTAGGAAAACATCCTGACCTATCTCATGAAGACATTCCTACGAGGTGATCAGTTCTGTACCTTCATTTCTGCATTTGCCTAGGTCCACATGACTAGAAACAACATGATTATGATAACAGTTATGACCATAATTCTTAGGTCTATTTATGAAGTGGCAGAATTAAAGCAATGGAAACTTTCTGGTCTTGATGGGGTTAGGGTCTGGTTTGACCCAAAGGAATATTCTTGAAGCAATAAGAGTTTTTAAGACCCATGAAAAAGTGGCTTGTTTGTACCCAGATCATCTAAATGAACTCACCTATACAATGCTAAATGGAAATAATATTACCATAAAAACAATACAAGCCAGGTTAGGTTGTAGGAATCAAACCAGTTGATCTTTGCAGTCCCAAGAAGCTGTCACTTAAAGGAAAAATTTCATCAATTTGTAACAAGTAGAATTACAAGAATGGAATGGGACTCAGGTTGCAATATCATAATATGGACTACAAGCTGTTGGCCACTACAGGGCAGATGAATTTTTTTTTCTTTTTGTAATAATCAGATGTCTATGGATTTTGGTGCTAAGGATGAAAAAAAACATATCAAGGTCACCACTTTAATAAATAGATTTCATGCCTATGGAATAAAGTGATCAAAATTATTTCCTCTTGCCCTTTTGATTCTCACAAAGCTACTCTGCAAGGAGGATTTGTTGCTTGGTTCAAAGATTTAATTTTTTATCTTCATTATCTTTCCATGGAGTCTTAGCTGCACAGAAAATAAAAGTGTGCAAACAGCTAGATTTTTGCTCCTAGAGATATGGCACATGGTCATGTTTCCTAAGTATTCCTGTCATTTCACCCATAACACTAGTTGTTTTGATGGGGAGTAGAAAAAAATAGCTTCTTGACAGACTTTCTTTTATTTTTTCAAGTAGCTTATAGATTGATTGATGTAGTATCTAGACTAATTAAGAAAAATACACTTCTTACAGCATTAGCATTTAAAAAAATACTTTCTAAGTCCAAATATGTGAGTGTTGTTATGCGGTGGTGATGATGATGGTAGTGATGTGTGTATATGTATGTGTGTGTTTCAAAAGTATATTAGCCTTGCAGGTGTTTGAAAAAAATCAACTTTTTTTTAAACTTTTTTTTTTAATTTGTGAAATAATCATTAGCTAAACTTATATTTTCAAGTACCACTCTTTTTCTTTCTTACATATTTTTTCTGTACCTCAGATTCCTAGCATCTGGATAAAAATCATGCACAGTTAACTTGTAGAAATTTACATGCAAAATGAAGGAACCAAAAGGGAAAAACTTCAAGTTTGGGTCTTTGTCAAAGTTTCCATAAACCTAAGTTGACCTCCAAACTGACACTAAAATACATATTTTAATAGAGGAACATGTTAATTTTTTTGGTTGTCTCAGTGTTTAACAGGCAAGATTGAAAATAATTGGATTACCTGCTTAAGCAAACGTTATTTTAGATAAATATCCTTCTGGACAAGAAATAAACTCTAAGAATGGATGTTCTGACCAGATCATACATGTTTTCATGGTGTCACTATTGATTTGTTTGTTCTACAACTGGTCCAGGTTTCAAAAAAGGAACCCCAGTTATTACTCTGTGAATTGTACAGCTCTCAAATACCAACAGCATTTTTCACAGAACCAAAACCAACAATCCTAAAATTTGCATGGAACCAAAGACTCTGAATAGGCTAAACAATCTTGAAACAGATATATATATCTGTTCTTCTGTCAGTGGATGCTTTGGGCTGCTTCTCATATATATATATATGAGTGTATATATATAGTGTATATATATACACACTAAGTATATATACTCAGCCACAAAAAAGAATGAAGTCTTGCCATTTGCCATTTTCAAGGACATGGATGGAACTAGAGAATATAATGTTAAGTTACATAAGTTATTCAGAGAAAGACAAATACCATTGATTTCACTCATGGAGTTTAAGAAAGAAAACAAGCAATCAAAGGGAAAAAATGAAAGACAAATGAAGAAACAAACTATAGAGAACAAACTGATATTCACCAGAATGGAGGTGGGCGGGGGAATGGGGGAAACTGGTGACAGAGATTAAGCAGTGACTTGTTATGATGACCACCAAGTGATGTATGGAATTGTTGAGTCGCTATATTGTAACCTGAAACTAATATAATACTCTATGTGTACTAACTGAAATTAAAATAAGAACTTAAAAATTCTGCAGCTCTGTACAATGAACTTAGAGACTACATCCTCATAGACTTGTGGGAAAGTAAAACGTGTATAGTTGATTTTCATCTCATATTAATTAAAAAGTGGTTTTCTATTTTAAGACTATAACCTGAATTTTGGAAATATTTGTGCATAGTGTGTAAATATACATATCTACTCATAATCTCTTAGATAATTGAAGCCATTTTAAATTCTACATACTGTGTTTTTTTTTTTAACATATTGGCTTTGTACCAAATTCTTAGTATTGCAGTAGCCAATCTGAAGGAACATCACAAAATTCCAGTAGCAAAGAAAACTTCAATCAAACTCTGATATCAAGTGACCAAGACAATGGAGCAGATGATCTTATTAGGACGGTGAGAGATTTTTCCACTGTATTTTAAAGGGTATAGGAAATCACCTTTCATTCAGAGGATAACATGTTCTACACCTTTCAGCTCATTCTTCCCTAAGGAAATTTGCCAGTTGTTTAATCGTTTGGCTCAGGAATTTATGAAATAATTGTATTTTTATTTATTAAACATATTTAATATACACAATAGTCACGTATATCATATATATGTTAATAGATATATTTAACTTGCAGCATTAAGTAGCCTTTAACAGGTCAGATCTTACATGTACAAGGTGAGATACATATTATTTGTGAGTGAATGATATACTTAAAAGTTTGAGACCTCGCCTATATGTTTTTAAGAGTATATATTAACAAAATAGGGAAGATTTCCAACCAAAATGAATCAGTTTTTTGTTCTTCACTTGCCTGATATTTGTCAAACTAACCATGGCCTATTATAAAATGGTATATGGGGGAGACTCAAGGCCCAGACCCCTCCCTACCAATAAGTCACATTTTCAACAATACGATAGATTATTGATTCTAAGAGATTTAATTGAATTAGCCTTGGATTCTAATTCAAGCTCCAATCACAGCTGACTGATATCACTTTGAACAAGTCACTTAATCACTCTGTGTCTCAGTTGTTCATCTAACTGAAAATATTAATATCCACCCTGCCTAGTATGCGTCCTGTGAGAATCAAGTAGGATGTATGTGAAGTCCAATAGAAAAAATATGAAACACTGTGTAAATGAAAAATCATTGATCTTCACACATGGCTTCAATCAGGTTAGCATCCTGCCTTGTCCTTTATCCTCCCTCTACCTCTATGCTCAACATCAGTAAGTCATCAATAGGGGTAATAAATAGGTTTTGCACAAACATAGCTAAGTTACTTGTATAAATCAGTTGGAATCAACTATCCAAGCCACTGGAGACATACAATCCCATAGTCTTTAAAAGATTATAGACTTTAGGGGCACCTCGGTGACTCAGTGGGTTAAGCCTCTGCCTTTGGCTCAGGTCATGATCGCAGGGTCCTAGGATCGAGTCCTGCATCGAGCTCTGTGCTTGGCAGGGAGCCTGCTTCCCCCTCTCTCTCTGCCTGCCTCCCTGCCTACTTGTAATCTCTCTCTGTCAAATAAATAAATAAATAAAATCTTAAAAAAAAAGGTTATAGACTTTAGGGCCAATAATATATTTTAAAACTTATTTGGAAATTAAATGGGCAAGAGATACCATTCAGAATCCATGAAAGGGATATAAATTTTTCTCTGAGTTCAAGATTAAGAGCAGAATAAAATTTGGTTGCTAGCTTATGGATTTTTCAATAGTATGCTAAATATTCAGAATAAAAATAATAACTACAGTTAATCTCTTTCTTTGCATTTAGGTAATGAATAAACATTATTATGCATTTTCTTATTTGATATAATAGTGCTCTAAACCAGTAAAAAACAAGATACCTGTACTATGTTAAAATATTCCCAGATTAGTAAACTCAGACTTGAAAACCCTGAAAGAAAAAATAGAGGATTTTTTTGTGTGTGATTTTAATATGGTATTTAAACAGTTTTTCTGTGTGCAATACTTTGTTATGGAGAAGAGTAAAACAAGAAATGATCTTTAAAACATATCAAATTGGCTCTTTAAGTATCAAATGTTATAATACAAGTATGAGGTTTAAATTATTTCTTGTTATAAGGCTGCCCCTTTTTACGGACCATCTTAGCCTCTTTTTCCCCCCAGAATGTCCAGTTGAAAGGAGTTTTATTTTCTTTAGTAAGTGAGAAATCATTTTTCTGAAAATGACCTTCCACAAAAGCTAACTCTTGATTGAAAGCCATGGTGAAGAAGGCATATCTCTCCAAGGTGGTAGCTCATAGTCTTCTCCCTGTATGACATTTTTGTTACACAGGCCCAAGTTTTTGTAAATAACTTATCTACAGTATGTGAGAAAGTTTGGACTTTGGGACTCCATCAGACATTCTTGTTAATGCTCATAATTGGAAGATGGCTTCTACCCATTGGAGGAGGGATCACTCGGGACCAACTCTCTCAACTTCTCCTTATGTTTGTGGGGACAGCTGCTGACATACTGGAATTCACAAGTGAGACCCTGGAAGAACAAAATGTGAGGTAAGCAGGCCTACAAGGTCAGGACCCCCATGCTTGTCTATTTGTATTCTACACAAATAAGGATTTTCAGTCTATTATATGTCTATTTCAGTCTATTATATGAATATAAATATATGTATTTATATTCTACACAAATAAGGATTTTCAGTCTATTATATGTCCAATGATAGAATCATAGAATTTCCAAATGTTCAGATACATATTAGGTACCAGCCAGTGTATTATGTATGTGTGTGTGTGTATATATATATATGTGTGTGTGTGTGTGTGTGTGTGTGTGTATTTGAACTTCTTGCTGAAGAAAAAGGGCAAGCAATATTTCCTTTGGGTGAGAACAGAAAAGCTCTATACTTCTGCGTGACCATGTGTTAGGTGGGGCCATGGTTGTTAGAAAACCTTCAGGAGGTGGAATGATCATCCGTAGTTCCTCTCTCATGTTCTCAAGTGTCCTGAAATGCAGCCAATCATAAAATTCTCTTCTAGAGCATAGCATAGCTACAATTCCAGGAAAGCACCTAGAAAAGACATAGAGAAATCTCTCCTCTCTACCTAGCTGTGAATTTATATTCCCTGGTGTGAATGGAGAATGGGGCATATTAGGTTTATTTTACTAAATTTTATTTTTAGTCAGTTTTGTTCAAAGTGCCTAAAGGCCTTCTGGTGTAGATGCCTATAAATTAAAACTTATTGAGTTGGTACTTTTATTTTTGCCACAAGCAAATAAACTCAGAATCCATGATCACATCTGTTTATGGAACCACTTTCTTACCTTTAGGGATTTAAGTCTCACTGCCTGAATGTACTTTCAGCTTGGGTTGTTTTGCACTATGCTATAAAAATAAATTGCAATGAAGCTGGCTTTTAATGCTACAGTTTACTTTATGCTGTGTTTCTCAAATAATGAAACATAAAGCTGAGCAAAATACACTAACTTACTGAGTAAACTTAATATCCCAATTATAACAGTAAGTATATCTGTAACCAGGGGTTACCTTTACATGATCATTTCCTGTTTCAGTTACACTAATTTTTCTTACACTTTATTAAGTAGACATAGAATTTTAAAAAGAATACAAATAAAGTTGATCTGTTGTCCTCAAAATATTGATGTCAATTTTGTAACTTTAATACCTTATATTTGGTCAGTGCTGTACATTGTATAACAAGTTCTCGGATACTTTAAAACAGTTGTAATACAATGGAGTTACAAGAAAAACATGAAGAACCATAACCAAGAACATAAAAACAATAAATAACTACAGGCACAGTGACAAGGACATAAAACAATAAATATGACTAGCTATACCTATATAGAAATAAACACATATGTGCTTAATATCTAGGGAGATGAGAGGGATATGCGGTAGGAAATGGAGTATTCAGGAGGGATATGTTTTGTGGAGCTGGTAATATAAATGTGAGAAATGCCAAACTTGGCTACTTAAATGGTCTGTTTATTAGGCCCATCCACAAATAACACCAACATGCATTTTATAGATCAGTATTTGCCAATAGATGTTAAATATTCAATAAGTTAATCAATAAAATCTTAATTTCCCAGAAAAAAAATCTTCGAAAATAATGAGGCATTCATTAATTCATCAGCTGCAGATTGATTATCTAGTATGTACCAGGCAATGTGCTAGGTGGAGACTGGGAGCAAATGGTAAGTGGTGAGAGAAATTCTGGACACACCGTCCTCTCCCAACATAGGTGATTTCAATTCAGCAATTTCTTCTGCCACATACAAATTAATCATATGTTTCAAAAATCTTTTTTTCTTATTTCAAACTCGCATTATATTCTGAGAAGGGATCAAATAAAGTACACCACCATGGTTATTGTTTTAAAATTTCTTTTCAGTCTTCGTGGTCTCAGACTGAAGTCATTTTATTTTTAATATAACTGCATTGTGTCAGTGTATATGTAGTCTCCACTCCCAAATGCCTCCATCACTCCAAAGTCGAGGCCCAGAAATAACCTAGAATTTTTTCTCCCTCTTAAAGCTCACCTTCTGACTCATAATTTTGTCACTGGTCTCATCAATACTGTAAGAATTGACACAACAAGTATCTATCTCTTCAAAGGACAGACAAACTCACACTGAGGCAGAGCTTTCCCCTTTAAATTCAAAAAGACAATCATGAAAAATAAATTTAATGTGCCATAAAAGATGTTCACTTGTTTGGCTTCTTAACTATAACCCACTTAGCATTTACCTATTTTTATATCATTTTATTTTCTATTTTATTTAATTCCATAATTTGGGCTAAAAGATTTAGGAGAAAATCTTCAATAATGTGTACACTGAAATGATGTCTACTTCTCTTTCCTGTATCCTTGCTAAATACCTCAAATCCAATTTTTTTTAACTTAAGTCAATTTCTTTCCATATGCCCACTTTAAGTTCATTTGACTAATTCTTATGAATTTACATGGACTTGTGAGATGCTACAAATTTTTCTTAAGAGCTTGACTTTACCCACCATAAAATTCAACTATTCTGTGGTCCAATGATATTTAATAAATTTATTGATGTGCAACCATCGTGAGAATCTAGATTCCTTGTAGCTGGTTGGAGTCAATTCTCACTCCTCCCATGACCAACCCTAAGCAACCCCTGATATGCTTTCTTTCTGTACCGAGTCTCCTTTTCCAGAAATTTTGTGCAAATGGGATCATAAAATATGTAGCATTTTGTGTGTGGCTTTTTCACTTAGCATGCTTTTAGGATTCATTCACACTGTTGCATGTATTTGGTAGTGAGTTCCTTTATAATTGCTGAATAGTATGCCACATGCATACACCACATTTTATTTGTTCATTCAAATTGATTCATTCATTCATTGATATACATGCATACTGCTATCTTCTTACTATTAAAAATGATGTTGCTTATAAACATACACTAAAATCCTTTGAATAGATCAGTTTTCATTTTTCTTTGGTCTATACTAGGATTAAAATGAATGGGTTTATGTTAAGTACATGTTTAACTTTTTAAGAAACTCCCAAACTGTTTTCCAAAGTGGCTGTACCTTTTTATATTCCATTCCTTCACATCCTTACCATTTTTTCAGTATTTTGATTATGACCATTCTATTGGGTTCTTGTGGTATCATATTGTAGTTTTCATTTCTGTTTCTCTAATGACTAAATGAACATCTTTCCATGTGCTAATTAGCTAATCCTATATCTTCCTTCAGTGAAGTGTCTGTTCAAATTTTTGCCCATTTCGGGGGGTTGGATTGATTTTTTGTTGTTGAATTGTAAGAGATTCTAAGAGTTCTTTATATTCTTTATATTCTGGACACAAGTCCTTCATTAGATACATAAATGTGATTTTTTTCCCCCAGTATACAGCTTGCTTTTCATTTTTGTCATTTAAAAAGTCTTTTTAAATTTCTTTATTTAAATTCAATTTAATGAACATAAACTATATTATTAGTTTCAGAGAATTTAGTGATTTATCAGTTGCATACAACAACCAGTGCTCACAACTCCATGCCCTCAACCCACATACCCTCCAGCAATCCTCAGTTTGTTTCCTGTAGTTAAGAGTCTCTTAAGGTTTGCATCTGTCTCTGTTTAAAAAAAAAAAAAAAAAAAAAAAAAAAAAAGTATTTTATTTATTTATTTATTTATTTATAAATTTTTTATTTCTTTTCAGCGTAACAGTATTCATTGTTTTTGCACCACACCCAGTGCTCCATGCAATCCGTGCCCTCCCTAGTACCCACCACCTGCTTCCCCCAACCTCCCACCCCCCGCCCCTTCAAAACCCTCAGGTTGTTTTTCAGAGTCCATAGTCTCTCATGGTTCACCTCCCCTTCCAATTTCCCTCAACTCCCTTCTCCTCTCCATCTCCCCTTGTCCTCCATGCTATTTGTTATGCTCCACAAATAAGTGAAATCATATGATAATTGACTCTCTCTGCTTTACTTATTTCACTCAGCATAATCTCTTCCAGTCCTGTCCATGTTGCTACAAAAGTTGGGTATTCATCCTTTCTGATGGAGGCATAATACTCCGTAGTGTATATGGACCACATCTTCCTTATCCATTTGTCCGGTTGAAGGGCATCTTGGTTCTTTCCACAGTTTGGCAACCGTGGCCATTGCTGCTATAAGAGTATTTTTAAAAATTTTTTGATAAAGTCCCATGTATCTTATTTTTAATTTTAAGTAGTGTTTTGGGAGTCATACCTAAGAGATATTTTCCTCACCCAAAATCAGAAATATTTCCCTCTATAATATTTTGACTTGACTTTTGTGTGTGTGTAGTTAGGATCTAAATTTGTGTTTTGTCTTATTTTGTCTCCTTTTTTTGCACTGTCCCAGAACATTTTTTGTCCTACCAGAGACCAATTGTCTCTGCAATATTTGCTGAAAAGACTGCCCTTTCTCTATTAAATTTCCTTGATATCTTTGTCAAAAATCAATTGGCAACACATGTTAGAGTTTTTATAGACTTTCTATTGTATTCCATTGCTCTATACATTTATCCTTATGCCAGTACTACACTATTGTGATTACTGCAATATTATGTAAGTTTGAAACTAGATGCTGTAAATCTTCTAACATTGTTCTTTTAATTTGGGGGAGTGAGGGGCTATCCTAGGTCCTCTGTATTTCTGTTTAAGTTATGATCAGCTTGTCAAATTCTATAAAATAATCCTGCTGGAGTTTTGATAAGCATTGTATTAAATTTAAGCAGCAAACTATGAAGAAATGACATCTTAATATTAAGTCTTTTAATGTGTGAACATGAATTATCTCATCATTTATTCAGATATCCCTTAATTTCTCTCTGTAATGTTTTATAATTTTCAGCATGTAGGTCTTGTCCTGCTTTTCCTAAACTTATTCTTAAGTATTTTATTCTTTTCTATAGAATTATTTTCTTAATTTCATAATATCATTTTCATGTTTTTATTGGTACTACATAGAAATACAATTGATTTTTGGATGATGATCTTGTACCCAGCAATAATGTCACCT